TTGAGATGTTTGAAGAACTTCCGGAGTGTTTAAGAAGACCCACCATAGAAGTGCTTGAAACTGGATCTTTTTAAGGGAAGTGGACACATATTCCCTTCTGTTAGGTTGTTATAAGAACACATTTGATGAACACATGGTTTAATAGAGGGCGACGATCTGATTGTAGCAGAGGTGTTTATTACCTTCGAACTCAGATGATCTTAACCGTTCTGACAAATAGAGCTGTCCACGCATTTATCTCTAAGCGATTCCAGTAACATGTGTTAAGCTGGCTCAAGGTTTCGTCAGCAGTTTTTTGCAGTACATATTCTTTTGCACTCTAATTATATTCGGGCTTCAGGCTATGTGACTTATCTAACGCTTGTGCGCCAAGTTCGTTCTGTTTACTCTGAATAACACAGGTTGGTTGTGGCTCAAAATCAATGTTACCAAACCTGCGATAGTAGCCCTAATTCTCCGAATGAACCCCTCGATTTCTTACCCTCTGTGAATTTCATTTTCCATCAAAGCCTTGAACTTTCTTCAAGAAACAATTGTGGAATATTCAGCTGTCTTGATTGTTTTCGCCCATTTATATCATTATCAGAAAAATTATTTCGAAACATCAACTAATGACGAGTGAACGAAGTACTGATTATGTTGAATTTTGGGCTAAAAGGGCTAATACTTAAATTAGTCAGGAATTATATGGCTAAGGCTTGGTTGTGGACTGAGGTATGCTCTGCAAATTTAGGCAGGTATAAATGTTGAAAGCCTTTCCTTTTCGATTTCAACTTAATACAACCAAAGCCGGTGAGATTGAGCCCAAATTGACATCATGAAGTTTTAGAGTATTTGGTTCTTTTGCAGTGATGGCGGAAGGTGGTAAGGTCAGCGTTGATGATGGGAAATCTACAGACGGTAAGAAAGAAAACAGCTTAATTACAATTAACTTTCTGTTTTGGAAAAAGTCACACGGTCAATATTTCCAGTTTGGGGCTTGATTGACAAAACACATCGTTTGACAGCTTTTCTCAAACATGATGATTAAGAAAAGTAAAATCACTCGGGAAATATTCGTGAAAGGTCTTGTTTTTTAAGGGTAATGGTTTCACCATGAACGTGATGTTGTGTTTTCCAGCTGCAGAGGAACGTCAAGTCAGATCTGGTGACTTAAAAGTGAATTTAGCTGATGATATTCAGGCAGGTGAGTAAAGTGGTCTTACAGGACATAGTAACAGTATGAATTTATGATGTGACTCATGTCTTACCCAATTCTTGAGTTAAAAAGAAATCTACGCCAAAATTCTGATACTGAGAGAAAAATTTGGGAGTATGAAGTTATCAACTGCTTGACCTAACACAACCTGTAGGATAGCGTATTTCTCAGACTGTATGGAATATTAAATGTGATCTCGTAAGGAACATAAAAACAAAACAAAAACAACTTAGAAAGACTGTTGTCCTTTTCGTGCCTTCGAATGCCTAACGTTATGAAAAAGGACCACCAGAGCGATCTTTTCTTCGCTTTGTCCCCAGTACCTCTCTCCAGGTAAAACAATTCCTCTTCATCTACATTTCTATTGTCCGCCTTCATTTCTCTATCGTTGTTCCTCTCACTCCCGCCTCGATTAGAGTCCAGCACCTGACGTTTTTGCTGATTT